GTTCACGAAATGCTGAAGGATTTACAAATCCTGCCCCTGCGAGATCCTCTGAGCCGGCCCTCCAAACCCTGAGCTTCCAAACACAGCCTCCTTGCTCTGTGTTTGATTTCGGGGCTCCCAAGCCTCTAGAGCTACCAGTAGGACCGGGTCCCCAAGTACCACAAACAGGCTCTCGGGCCCCTGACAGCCACGGCAAGCGCTTCTCTCCCTGGCTCAGGACAGACTTCCGACCACCCCATGCACCGGGCAAGCACCTGCGGCATTCCTGGTTCTCTCTCCTCCCCTTACCCCCACCACACACACCAGCTGATCAATTATTTTCACCTCCTGTCCGCCCCTGTGCCTCACCTGTGCTTCACGGCCAAGAGAAGGGCCGCCTTCCTCAAGTCACTTGGCTGCCACCTGCTGGAAATTTGTCAGAATGGCCCTACAAACCTCGGCCGCCTGGCCGAAGCCGAGGCGCATCCTGGGCTTGTGCAACGTGCTGCACATGCAGCCGCAAGCGTGGCCCTGCCTGTCTCTTTACTTAGACCCTGTCTCTCCAGCTAGACTGAGGGAGTCTTGAACGTTAGGACTGCTCCTTCCTCCATGTGTCCCCAGTGCCCCAGAGGCTAGAGAGAGGCTTGCTGAATGATCCTGAGGCAGACACCTGCTACCTTGGTGCAGACATCAGGTCTCCCCAGGCGAACATTCTCTAAATGGCATCTGTTGCATACAGCAGGGCAGCCGAACTCCCCACAGGCTGTCAGAGTGACCGTGGGGGGTCCGGGGGGACTTGCAGCGAGACAGAGCCCTTCTAGCATCTGGCCTCGGACCACCAGCACCTGGACAGACCAGAGCGACCCCTCATCCATTCCCTCCGTAAGCCTGGAGCCGCCACCAGCAGCGGGCCACCTGCCATGGCTCTCAGGGCTGAGGCCTGCAGCACGTCTGTGCCCCCAGCGGCCCGCGAAGGCTGTGGGATGCAGCCATGGCCACGCAGGAGCCCTTCCTGGGGAGCTCGGGGCTTTGGGGGGAGCAGATCGGTAAGCAGCCAGCAGACAGGGCGATCAAGGATGCCGATTTCCCCTTCATGGACATGCACCATCAAAAGCCACCACCCCAGGGCCATCTGGGGCTTCGCAAGTTGGTCTGCACAGGACTCCGTCAGCTGTCCCAGCTGAGGGTAGGGACAGGAGGGGGGCAGGTAGGGGAGGGCTCCTCATCCCCCTCCTGCCTTCCTGGGGGGCTGGGGAGGGCCCGAGGCAGGACTGGCAGCGGTGTGGCAGGCAGAAGGGACCAGTGTGGAGCCAGACACGTCGGGTTCCCGTGCCCACTCGCTGTGTCATCTACGGCCACGCAGCTTTGCCTCCTCAGCACTTCCCTGGAAAACTGGGATAGTGATCACAGTAGGTTATTGTGAAGATAAACTGGGCCAGGGTGAACATATCCCCTTTCCCTCCGCCTCCGGGCCTCCATCTGCGCTTCCTCCGTCCAGCCGGTGGGGGTCAGCTTAGGGCGACGGATAGAGCCAGCGGCAGGAGCCAGGGGACCACCGTCCCGTCTGTCTGGGACTAAGGGGTTGTCTGGGGGTTCCCGTGCAGAAGTGGGAAGGTCCTAGGCGACGAGGGCCGGTCACCCTGCTGACACACACGCTCTCCACCTCCGCGCCTGCAGCAGGAAGGGTTGCTTCTTCCTCCCGCTGGTGCTGCTCATCCATCCGGGACCTTGGCGAAAGGAGCCTCCAGCCGGGAAATTGCCAGTCTTGGCACAAAGGAACTCACGGTAAAAGTTCTGTTCCAAAGTCGAGGCTGTCGCTCAGGCCCACAGGCATCGGTCCAAGGAAGTCATCAGGCCGGGCCAGCCCCGGGGGGCGTCCTGCAGACTTGTCCTTGCAGGGACACCACCAGTTTGAACCGGGGTGCAGGGAGGAGAGAAAGCAGAGAGAGACACCCGTCTGCGATCGGTGGTCTTCTATGTGGTCACCCTCCAGTAGATGACACGTGTGCGTTTCTCGTGGCTGCTCAGCCTCACCCCGCCCTGCTCAGAGGGGCAGCTGTGTGTGCTTTGGGTGACATCCGCAGCCTTCTCAGCTGCAGGGGCAGCCCGGGCTGGGACTTATCTCCTAGCCCCGCCACCGCGATCTTCTCTGTGAGCCCCTGAGATCCTTCTCCCTGAACTCCGAGGAGCGCAAGGGGACTATGGAGGCACCGAGGGTACCACCAAGTCCTCCCCGGGCACACTGCATGAGTCCCTTCGTGCTTTGCTTCCTCTGACATCCAGGGAGCCTCCCCCTCCTTTGGAAGCCTCCAGCTCCGAAGTGGGCACACCTGTGGCCCCCGATTCCAGGCCCACAGGCCAGGCTCTCCCAGGAGCATCTTCACTGTGTCACTCGGATGGCAGCACCAGGGCTGGCCCTGAGCTCCCCTTGGCAAGGACGACTCTCCCAGTTCCCTGTGGCCTCTTGGAGCCCCTCCCCGGGCTCAGTTCTCTTTGGGAAGTAGCTCAGAAAGAGAGGGGTTTTTGTTGTTTTTCTTTTGTTGTTTCATTGTCTTACGTCTAAGAACACCGTCTTGGAGAGAAAACAGTTTTCCAGAAATACTTGTCACCGCTGATTCAGCTCCCTTACTTTGTCCAAGCATTTAAGAAAGGCCTTCTGATTTTTATTAAAAAGATTTTACGGGGATTCCTGGGTGGCTCAGTGGTTTAGCGCCGCCTTCAGCCCAGGGCGTGATCCTGGAGGCCCGAGATCGAGTCCTGCGTTGGGGCTCCCTGCATGGAGCCTGCTTCTCCCTCTGCCTATGTCTCTACCTCCCTCTGTGTGTGTGTGTGTGTCTCTCATGAATAAATAAATAAAATCTTTAATTAAAAAATATTTTACTTATTTATTTGAGAGAGCATGAGTGAGGGGGAGGGGCAGAGGGAGAAGCAGGCTCCGCGCTGAGCAGGGAGCCCAGAGCCCGGCAAGGCCTTCTGATTTTTTTTTTTTTAAGAGTTTATTTATTCATGAAAGACACAGAGAGAGGCAGAGACACAGGCAGAGGGAGAAGCAGGCTCCACGCTGAGCAGGGAGCCCGATGTGGGACTTGATCCTGGGACCCCGGGAATCACATGCTGAGCTGAAGGCAGATGCCTAACCGCTGAGCCACCCAGGTGCCCCAAGGCCTTCTGATTTTTGTTTTGTAAGATAGAGTGCCAGGATTTATGTTAGCATTCATTATGTCTATAAAGTAAACTTGAGTATTGGGACAATTGGTCCAAATAATAAATTTTACATGGCGTCTGGCACTGAGAGCCTTCCTCTAAATTTTGGAGCCATGGGAGAGAGAGGGTGAGGGGTGTAGTGGGAGCACCCTAGTAGTGAAATCATGGGGCGGGGGCAGAGGGCCACAGGTGCCAAGAGAAGGCTCAGAGCGGCACGGGGAGAGCCGGAAGGCTTCTCTGAGGAGCTGCCACGTGGGGGCACTTGAAAGGAAAGCAGGAGTTCACCAGGTGCCCAGTGGGTAAAGGGAGCCACACCTGCAAACGGCGTGGGCATAGTTGAGGCCACGTGTGCTTGAGAACTTACGTTTCCCGGTGGCCCAGAGCCTTGGGGAGCAGATGGCGCGGCAGGGTGCAAGCGGGCCAGCCTACCGTGGAGGCTTGGTGTGTCCTGGCAGGGAGCTTCTGGAAGGCTCAGGGCAGAGAAGTAAAGCCCTTGGAGTGTTTAAGTGAGGGGGTGTCCTGTGTGTGACCAGAGCAGCCTGGATGGAGTCGGTGGCCAGGGGACAGAGGGCCGGTGGGGGAGGGGAGGAGAGGGCGCCCGCGTGGGCCCTGGATTGCCCGGGTGGGTGCCGGGTGGGTGCCGGAGAGGAGCGTGGGGCGAGTGTGGGGAGGCCGGCCGAGGCGGGGCTGCCGGTGAGCTCTCGGGCAGCTCGGCCCGGGGACCTGGGGGCCGGGCTCCCAGGCCGTGTCCACACTGGCTCCCGGAGGCAGACCGCAGGGGGAGGGCGTCGGGAGGACGTCCATTCGAAGGCCTCGCAGTGGGGAAGCCGCAGGCCCACCGAGGCCGCGGGAAGCAGCCGGCGGCCGGCGAAGCCCCGGGACCTTTGCTTCAGGGAGGGTGACGGCGGGCTGGCTGGCTGCCGTCTGGAGCGGAGCCGGGAGGTGACCCTGTCCTGCGCGGGCGGGGACGGGCCGCAGGCCGCGCGCGACTCGGAGCCTTCTCACCGCCCACCGTGCCCGCAGCTCGGGGTGCCCGGGGTGCCCAGAGCTTCCAGGCCCTTCTCTCCAAAGGCCTCACTTGCTCTCGGGTGCCGTGTGCGTGCGTGTGGCGGCTTAGGGTCCACTGTCCCGGGGCCCCGCGCCTCCGCCGGGTCACCTTGCCTGCTGTCCCCCACCCCGTCTCTCTCTGCCTCGTCCTCTCCTGTAGGCGAAGGCCAGAGGATCTGCCTCCCAGAGTTGTGTGCGGGCCCAAGGCTGTGAAGCAGTAGGGACCTGCAGTAGGGACGGTGCCTGACACCCAGCACTCCCTCAAGCGGGCGCTATTATTTTTATTGCCTGACCCAGGAGGAGAAATGAAAAGTCCAGTTGTCTTCTGTCCCTTAAGGCCGCATCCAAGGATCCACGTCTAGTCCTTTAAAAAGCAGTGTCTTGGGATCCCCGGGTGGCTCAGTGGTTGAGCATCTGCCTTCAGCCCAGGGTGTGGCCCTGGAGTCCCGGGATCGAGTCCCACGTCGGGCTCCCTGCATGGAGCCTGCTTCTCCCTCTGCCTGTGACTCTGCCTCTCTCTCTTTCTGTGTCTCTCATGAATGAATAAATAAAATCTTTTAAAATAAGTAAATTAAATAAAAAAGCAGCATCTTCCACAGAGAAGCCCTCCCGCGAGCTCCTCCACGTGTTGGCAGGTTAGCTGAGCGGGCGCCGGCGGTGAGAACGTGAGCCACCAGCCTGGCCGCCTCGAGCGGAGCCAGTGGGTTGTGTGGTGTATCTTCCCCCAAGTGACCTGTGTGGGTTTTCTTTCCTTGTGGGCCCCGCTGTAGGTTTCTGGAAGAAGTTGACTGCCTGAAAGGAAACTACAAAACATGAGACTCGCTTTGAGGTGACCAATAAGTCCCGTGGCCCCTTGCTCCGCCCAGGGTGAATCTGAGCTTTAAGAACTGTAACTTCAGGTAATAAAATCACACCCCCAAGTCCCCTCCCCCTGCCCTCCACACCTGATATCGTTGGCGGCTTCCATGGTAGTTCTTTCAGAAAGTGTGGTTTCTCCCAGCAGTCCTGAAGCTTGGGGTAGTCCACCTCCTGCAACTGTCTGGCTGCTCGAAAAGAGGGAGTGGGGGCTAGAGGTAGCACCCCCGTGTCTGCTGGCAGCCCAAAGGCTCACCGAGACCCCGAGGATTGGGCTCTGTACTCCTGATATCTGTGAAAACAGCTCCTAGCAGCACCTGTCAGGGCTTTCAATGTGATTACATGATTATAGAACGCTCCTCAAAGAATCCACTGGAATAACCTGGAAATTTCTGAAAATGAAAAGTCTGAAGAGGAAGCGGGTTTGTTCTACCTAATAGTGGAAATGTATTATGAGGCCACAATAACAAATAGTGTGGTACTGGATTGGAAGTGACTAGATCCAAGGACCAGAAGAGGAAGTCTACAAATAGACAATAAATCCATAAAGGTGGCATTTCAGATGATTGGTAAATGGTGTCGGTACAGTTACCTGTCCACTGAAGGGCAATAGGTAGGTACCTCCAACCGTAGGTAGTGTACCAGAAGTAATTTCCAGATGGATTAAGAGCTAAGCAAATCATAAAAATATTAGTAAAGAGGATATTTATAATTTAGGGTGCAAAAAGGCTTTGAAAAAACATGTCACTTCTAGTATCACCTATAAAAACTAAGCAAAGTTAAAAGGCAAAAAGGGGGTGGGTATTTATGACATCTGTGACAAACAAGGAATGAATATCCCAAATATACGAACTTACATATTCATTATATTCATTCAACACCTATTTGTTAGGTACTTACCATATGCTAGAAAGTGTTCTAGGCCACTAAGGTGCAAGTAGTGAACTGAACAAAATGCCCGCTCTTTGATGCTCCTAGTCTAATGGTCTAATGGAGAGGAAGCTAGTAAATAAAGAAGTAGATTATTGCTAGGGGCTATGGGAAAAAAATGAAGCCAGGTGGAGGTGGTTAGGGATGATTGGTCCTGGTGGGGTGTTGTAGTATAAGGATATTCAGAGAAGCTTCACTGCTGAAGTGACATTTGAGCAGAAATACAAAGGAGCAAGGAGAGAAGTGGGAGCTGATGGGATTTTCTAACAGGTTGGGTGCAGGTTGTAAAAGGAAGCAAGGAGTCAGGATGACTTCTAGGTGTGGGGCCCGAGCATTCAGATGTGAGCATCACCAAGGGGCTTAGCTCAGGGAGAACCAGGGGGTTTGGTTTGGACGTTTCAGTTGGAGGCCTCTTGGCCGTGTAAGTTTGGAATTCAAGAGCAGTCCAGGCTGGAGGGATAAATTTGGGGGTTCTCATAGCATAGATCATATCTGAAGCAGCAAAATTAGACCTCTTGGGGAGTGGGTATAGGCCGAGGAAGTCCAAGGACATCTGCAGGACCCTCATGTAGAGGTGAGGGAGGAGGAAGTACCCACAAAAGAGACCCGCAAGGAATGAGTGGCCACTGAAATAGAAGGGGACAATGAGGAGGTGGCCTCTCTGGAGCTGAGAGACAGCGAGGAGGGACAGATCAGCTCTAGCAGATGTCGGGATGGGGCAGGTATGGAGGTTGGAGAACCAGCTACCAGACCTAGCAATGACAATGACGAGCCCACTGGGGCACCTAACAGGGCTGTTCTATTGGAATGATGGGGACAAAAGCCCAATTTGTGTTGCTTTATAGCAAGGAAGAGGAAAAGAACTGGAAACAGAGAAATGGGGGTACTGGCTAGAAGGGAATAGAGTTCAGAAAAGCGTGTGTGTTTTCCCCAAGATGAGAGTTGTTGTCCATGTTTATCCAAACCAGAGTGACCCAGTAGGGTGGGGAAAGTGGATGGTGCAGGGTGTGTGGCAGGGAGAGAATCCTGGGGCAATGATCTGCCCTAGTGAGAGGGGGTGGGCCAGTGGATGCGCTCCCTTTTCTCCATGAAGTAGAAAGCAAAGTATCTGCTAGAGGGAGGATGGGGAGCTGTTGGAAGCTTGAGGAGAAAAGAGAGGGTATGACGTGCTTGGTGGCAGATGGGGGAATCCACGGAGCAGGGGAGCCAAGGAGCAGCGGGCAGCACTGGCATTGGAGGTGTGCGAGGCGGTGGATGGGAAGGGAGAGCAGCCGGTTCACCGTGTGCTTCTCTGCCACCAGGTTCCGGTGCCCAGGTGAACATGAGTTAGGAGGCCCATCCATACTGGAGAAAACGTGGTAGGAAAACAGGACATGAGTGGGCAGAAAGGAAACCAGACACATGTCTATAAACATAGGGACACCATCCGTAATCATTTAAAAATGCAAGTAAAAACCAATGGGGTTTTGTTTTTTCCTTCAGATTGACAGGAGCTCTTGCTGGGGATAGAAATTATTGGAGCTTTTCAGCAGCACAGTGTTCCAGAATGTACCAAGACATATTATGTGTGTTCCCTTTTGTCCTGCTTTTAGACATTTAGACGGAGAGATAATAGCTCAAGTGCCTGGAGTTAGAACACAAAGATGCTCCCTCTGGCTGTGGTTGTGAAAGTGAAAAGTTGGCGCACACCTAACCTGGTGCACTCGTCTGTGGGTGGAACAGATCGCGGGCAAATGAGCTCACAGCCCCCTCTTGCTTTGCAGATGAAGAAACTTGAGCCCGGGGAGAGGGAGTGACCGCCCCAGTCACCTGGTGTGGAGCTGGGACCCCCGTGTGGGTGGGCAGTGCACGGCCCCTCCCTCTTCGACTTGGTTTGGAGTTGGAGTCCCTTGCAAGGTACTCATCAGCCTCTTTTTTGGGCCGACTTACCCCACGCTTATAAAATGTGGGTTCTCAAAATGTTTTGCAAATTTGTCTGCACTATCTTTGTGTCGTCATGCAGGTTTTCCTTGCAGGGAATGCTGGGGGCAAAGGCTGGTCAGGGCAGTCAGGACAGACTTTGCCCGGCCCCGTGATAGACGGGGGACCATATCTTCCCCAGCTCCCAAGAGAGACTCATGGCCGGAGAAAGGATATTTTCTGCTTTCCAATGACTTTTACAAGAGTTGTAACAAAAACACAAAGATAACGAGTGAATCGTGTTTATTTTATTGATTGCAAGAAAATAAAATGAGAGCTGTCAGAGGATATCTGGTCCCCTCATGGGAGGAGCACTGGGCTCCAAGCCCGTAGAGCCTTGGGTTCTGGAATCGTTCTTGCATGCCCTAGCATGGGCACCCAGGAGAAGCCACCCAGTTGCTCTGAACTTTGTGTCTTCATCAGAGCTATGAGCAGCTCAACCTCCGTTCTCTATGCTAACTCCTAAAGCACATCCTGTTCTCGCCAGTCTGCGGTATCCCTACTCCTGCTGCTGGGTGGGAGCCGTGTTGGCGCAACAGCCCAGTACCCCGCTCTCCACCACGTTAGAAGGGCGCCTAGAAATCACCTCTGTGCCTCCTTGTGCCAGTTGCAGACCTCCAATGGCTGACCAGAGAATGGACATTTCTTCGACAATCAGTGACTTCATGTCCCCAGGCCCCACCGACCTCCTCTCCAGCCCCCTCGGCACCAGTGGCATGGATTGCAACCGGAAGCGGAAAGGCAGCTCCACCGACTACCAGTAAGGCCTTCTGGGCTCCTCTTCCTCTGCCTGAACTTGGTGCCCACTCCTGGCACACTGAAGGGCTGGCTCCTGTTCCTCCTGGAAGAAGGGGTCCTCTTTGTGGAAAGGGCTGGAAATGAAAGCTACAAGTCTAGGCGGCCATACAGTGGGGTCTATTGTTGTTGTTGTTTTTATCTTCCCACTGGATTGCAAGCAGGATGGAGCCTCCAGCACTGCTGAGGCACCCACATCCCCCCTCCTGTCCCCAAATTGTCCCACATGAGGGGAAAAGGAAGAGCCCTAAAGCCAAGGTCTACCTTTTACCGTTTCCTTTGTCCTCCTTGGCTCCCTTGAGCCAGCTGGCTTAGCCCAGTGCAAATTTATCCTGGGTGTAACCTCATGGTTGCAAAGAGAACTTTGCCTGAAGGCCTCTCTGAGGAAGACCTCGGTTGCTTAATTGTTTGTGGCAGGTGTGAGTGCAGGTCCTCTCCGAAAGCACCGTAGGAGCATTGACACCACCCTGAAACATTACTCCAATTACTATGTACCTGTTATATTAAATAGTATTTTTGTTTCTTTTTAGACTTGATGACTTTTCTTTTGAGTAAGTAAATTTTCCCACTTACAGTCCACTCTTGTATATCTGTACACACACCTGGGGGATAGGGCGCTGCGGAGAACCTTCTAAGGCACGTTTTGTTTTGTTGAGGCAACTGTGTGCAATCTTATCCCGACGTCCACTTGAGAGGTTTTCTTTTGTTTAATGAGGGAAAAATCTCCAAGGAGGTGTCTCCCCACAGCAGATGTCCTTTCTGCTGAAGTTCACAGGTCGAATTTGGGGAGCACAGTGACCGAAGGTCAGATGCCCACTAGGAGATGCTATGATTAATGTGTAAGTGACCCCAGATGATTGAGCAGGCGACTCCCAGGGGATGGAGAGTGGGTGTGAGGCCTGAGAGGGTTCTTCTGGACCAGTCCATCCCCCACAGGGAGGCCAGGAGGTTTTCCACAGACCTCTTCTCTTGAGCAAGTTCTCGTGGAGTCACCGGTGCACCGGTGCCTTCTAAGACCTCTGCGATCTAAACCTGTGGTCCCCTGTTGGTCCCCACCCAAGACCTCCAGGTTTCCCTCATGGACCCCTTGCAAATCTTCTGTGATTTGTGGAGACCATATTAAGCACCCTTAGCCCCCTTCCCGGTCATCTTAATGTGCTGAATGCATCTGATCTGTCAGGCAGAGCTCTCTTCACCTGAGATGATGATCCGGGCCTTGGTGAGCAGATACGAGCCAAGACAGAAGGGGAGGGAGAGCTTTCATTTTCCCCTGTGGCCTGAATGGTTTCTCTTCTGTGCTTTAGGACTAGCTGGAGAAGCTCTCTGCCTGTGAGGCAGCCAAGGGCTCCTGGTTGGGAACCACTGTCCCAGAATGCCCATGATGTGATTTAGTGCTCCTGAGAAAAGTGGCTTTTGCCCTTGAGGCTCCATTGCTTGAAGGGCCATGTCCCTCTGTTCTTCCCAGACAAAAAAGGAGAGGCTCAGGTGCTAGTCAGGGCCCTCCTGCTGATAAACTTAGGGGCTGGAGAAGGGTGTGGGCTGACCCCAGGGAGATTTGGAACCCCCATCTTGGAGGATTCTAGTCTGTTTTCTGTTGAACCATAAAGTGCCATGAAACTGGGACCTCTGGAATCTATAAAAGGGGGGTAGATCCCTGCCGTGACCCCAAGACGCTCTGCAGCCCGACAGGGTTCCATGCCCCTTGGCCCCACTTGTGCCCTGGATCCCAGCTCCTTAGGCCGAGGAGGTTCCCACCTGGCTGAGAACCAGAACACTGGGTATCAGTGCCTTTGAGAAGCTGCCTCAGGACTCCTCTCAGTGCTTCTCTGTGGGTACATTCGCCTCCCCACCCCCGCCCCCCACCAAATATGCACATGTATATTTGAGGCTTGGTATGTTCTGCAGATGAATAAACTCCATTTATCCAGAATGATGGGAAGAATGAGGTATTCTAGTTATTTGGATACTCTGATTAAGAATGTCCATAAATGCTGTGTATTCCCGATCTTCAGAATATGGCCTAAAATATTACCATGCAAGCTCTGTGGATGACCATACGTAGCTTTTGTTTGGTCATCCAGAAACCCGGTCCTAGTTTCATAGTAGGTGCAAGCTGTGTGTGTCTGACGATCCTGTGTCGATAATCAGTACCGTGGCCATTTGAACATTCTGACTATTTGGTTTCTGGATAAATGAGAGCCTTCCGTGTTGTAAGAAGCTGCTTCGTATGTCTTGATTCACAAAAACTCACGTTCTCTCTTGTTTTTTTTTTTTTTTTTTCAGAGAAAGCATGGACACAGACAAAGACGACCCTCATGGAAGGTACCATGAACCCAGTCGTGACCTTCATCCTGCTAGCGGTTTTCCTTGCATAATTACGTGTTCTGTTAGTTGGCGCAGATCTCACCCATGTCCTTGACTGGGGATAAGAGGGAGGCTGTGAGCCGGGGAGTTCAAGATGGTCACCCCTGGCCCCCGGCGTAGCTAACAGCAGGAGCCCTTGTGTGTTGAGAGAGAGGACAGGGATTAAGCTGGGAAATGAATGAAACTGGGAGGAAAAGAGAGCTGTATAACTTTGCCATTAGTCTCCTAGGGATCGTGTTTTATCTTTTCCTTTTTTTCTTTCTTCCCTTCCAGGTTAGACTACACAGAGCACCAAGGAAGGATCAAAAATGCAAGGTAAGGGCGGGCCTGTCTCTAAACCGTCCTGGCTCTGGGTGTTGAGAGCACGGCTGAGGTGGCTCTGTGTCTGGTCCCTGCTGGGCTGAGCATCCTTTCGGGGATGGGGAAGGTGTTGAGGGCCTTCGCTTGAGGTGGCCGCCTGCCCTTTGTCCCCTCCACACTGGGGTGGCCTTCACTCTTGGCTGTCTAAGCCCATTAAACCTGAAGGGGCCCTTGGAGTAGCAGGAAGTCCTTCACGGCTGAAGCTTTTCCCCAGCTGTCTTCAGCAGGTTGCTGCTTCCTGACTCGAGGGCCCCCAGAGGAGACCTGGCTCAGTGACTCCGTTCTTGGGCTGGGCCTCCCCTCTCAAAGTGGCCCTCCCTGCACTGCGAGGCCGGACATGGGGGCTCCTTTGAGTAGATTCTCTGACTCGGTCCTTCCTGCCTCCAGCCACACGTGCTGCCCCCATCCACGTGGGTCTTCCACGCTCCTGCCATTAGCTCTAGGGTCCTCTGAGGCTGTCATGCCATAGAATTTCACTGACCTGAGACTCCTGGCTTCCCCCTCCTGCACAGCCTAGCCTTGGTGGGGGGTCCTGCTTGGTGGCTCTGTTGCTATGGCAGCAAACTGCGTTTCCAAGGGTGATGTACCTCCATAGGGACAATCACAGTGGCAGGTACAAAGTAGTCGGGGAGAGTGCGTACCTGTGGAAGCACCCTCCTGCCTTGCTGCGTGGCCACGCCGGGGAGGGAAGAGTAGAACATTCTTCAGAGGAAGCTCATTTTTCAGAGGAAACTCTCGGGGACAGATGCAGCATCTGCTGTATCTTGGTGGGGTCACGGTTGGTCCAAAGATGGCAGCATTGGTTACCTAGTGACTCAGTCAGTGAGTCTCTGACAGGTGCACCGCGGGCTCCTCACAACCTCAGAGACCACTTCGGGATCACAGGATCCCCCCAGTGGCCATTCCAGAAGCTTCACTCTTTGCAGACCCCACCTCCCTTCTCTTTCCTTTCATGCTTACCTTAAAATGCAACCTCATAGAGGCTGAGAGGAAAAGAAATGAGAAATTAGCCATCCGGTTTGCTCTGAGCAGACAGTTTTGGTGGTTTTTTTTTGTTTTTGTTTTGTCCTATTTCTCCTTCATGCTAAGTATGAGGGAGGCCTACAAAACCCCAGTAGTGACCCCTGGCAGGGAGGCCACTATTTTGGTGACTAGTCAAAAAGTCTAGTTCAAAACCTGGTGCACGCTGTAAAGGTGGCCTGTCGGGGAAATGTCAAAACCAGTTACGGCTTATTTTTGTCGTTTCCCTGAGGCTCGGCCTCATTTTATAGAAATCGTTTTTCCCCTTGTTGTGCAGGGAAGCTCACAGTCAGATTGAGAAGAGGCGTCGGGATAAAATGAACAGTTTCATTGACGAGTTGGCTTCCCTGGTGCCCACGTGCAACGCCATGTCCAGGAAGTTAGATAAACTTACCGTGCTGAGGATGGCCGTTCAGCACATGAAGACGTTACGAGGTGAGACCTCGGACTTCATCTTCTTTGTGACCTTGTCCACACATGTTGCCTCCCTCGCCTCAGTTGTGCCTGAGTCCCCAGTACAGTGTGTGTCAGTTGACAAATGTGCAGCGTTGAGCAACAGGCCTAGTGCCACGTGGGGTGATCACTGAGCTTACATGGGGTCCGGTTGGGGTTTTGCAGCTGTTCCTCCCCCCGCCCAGGGGGTAGAGGCTGCGATGCGTGCCCGTGTCTGCACGTGCCTGTGATCCTCGGGCACCGTGTGTAGCTGAGGGGGGCCACACATCTTGCATGTAGGGGGGCCTGGGCCCCGGCCATCAGAAGGACGAGTGCACCTAGGGATGCTGGGGGGGTCCCTTCCTGTCTTTCAGAGGAAAATTCACCATGGCTCCTTTAAGGAGTGAGTCACTGGCTGATGGTTCTTGGTGCATTTTGCTGTCAGGGATGAACACTGATGGTATTTTCATGTTCCTGGAACATTCCCAAACCAGATAGAGTCTTCACGAGGGAGGCAGCGTCTTCCTTCCTCTCTGAGCGCGGGGCGGGCGAGCACGTGGGGCAGGAAGGTGGAAGTGGCGCTCCGGTGGGGCCTCGGACCCTCGGAGGGAACTGGAAAGTGGGTGCTCAGTCCGCTTCAGACCTCTGACCCGCGTGCTACAAGGATTGTGTCTTCGTGTTTCCACAAAGCCACCAGGAGGGCAGAGTCGCCGGTTTTGTCTGACTTGCGATCCCCCATTCAGACCTGTCTGCGTCGTGTCCACTAGAATTTCCTCTTAGTGAAGGTGATAGAGATTAGGTTACTACAAGCTAACTTTTTTATTAAGTTGGAAGGAAACGAGTGACACATCTCGAGTCATAAAAAGCAGGGATGTGGCTCAGCCTGTGCCTGGTTAGTTGATGTGAAAGTCCCAGGCACATCTGTCACCCTCCTTCCCCGTGTGCTGTGAATCATGGACCTTTTCTGTTTTATTTCTTCACTGTTCTGTTTTTGCGGATTCCAGGTCATTTGCTGCTGGCATTTTTCTCTTACTGTTCTCCGATGCGATGCCAGACTGACGCCTTTTAAGCATCTTGTCCCCTCTCAGCCCGAGGACCCAGAGCTGTAGTCACTTAAGTGATACATTTCTCTGGGTTGCCAAGCTCATTTGCCTCGCCCGATGAAGAAGCACTCCCACCAGATGCCTTCTACAATGTATTTATTTACTCAGGGCCCGGCAGCCTGGATGATTTCCCAGGAAGGCTCAGCGTGACGATTTGAGGGACTGCTGGTCAACCTATTTAATGTCAATCTTGGGGGGAGGGAATCCTCCCAGGACCCTCTGCCGCTTGGCTTCCGGAGCTGCCTTCTCTCTTTGAAGCAGATTTTTCCTTCTGTCTGTTACCTCTTGGCTCCCCTCCAGTGGCCAGAGCAAACTCGTTAGGTCCCCTGTGGACAACAGTGTTGTTTTTCCAATGGCTTCTGTCCGAAGCCCGATCTAGCCCTGTCTCTGTTAAGGAAAAAGAAAATAAGATTGAAGTTCCAGGTGGCAGGGGCCAGGCCGCATCTGGAAGGGTGGAGGCGGCGAAGTGGAATGAGACGTTACCTGAATAGAAAGTGGACCAACTCTTTCTCTCTTCTTCTCCCTAAGGTGCCACCAATCCATACACAGAAGCAAATTATAAGCCGACTTTCCTGTCAGATGATGAATTGAAACACCTCATTCTCAGGGTATGTCGCATTTACGAGCTTGTTTTGTACACACTTTTATGAATTTCTGGGTGAGGTACCAGCCTGTGGGAATTTGATGTCTAACCTTTGGACCTTCTGAGGCCCCTCGTCTTTTGGGTCTCCACCTCTGTCTGTCTGTCTGGACAGTCTTCACATTCTTTCCCTGAGGTCTTCCTCCTCCCCTTCCACGCTTGCTTAGACAAAAATGGAAGGCCCAGGCTACTGTGGTTTTTAAATAGAAGGAGGCAGGATTTTGTTAAAAATAGGTAGTGAAGAATCCCATTCCTGCATGAAGGCTTTAGAAAAGGATGGACATCGATAATTGAGCATTTGTCATCTTCTCACTTAACTGCTGGCGCAAAAACATCCACATCTACCCTTCCACCAAAACCCCATCAAAGCAACAAAGCTTCCAAAGACTCCTCTTGCCAAGGAGGAAAAGAAATGGGGGACGCAAGGCTCTCTCCCCTCCTGGCCGTAGCGCTCACTTCATCTTGCTCCTCTCTGCGGAGAGGCCATCGAGGTGGCGCCATGCAAACTTGGCTTCCGTGTGGGATTGGGTCTGCCTCTGGGTAGAGTGAGATCAACTTGGAAATCGAAGGGAAAGAAACAGGATTCAGAAACCTGTCCTCTTGCAAACTATAAAAAGAAAAACAGAAAAACCTAACTGAAGGGAACTATACCAGCCTCCTTCCCCCCACAGCCAGGGTGGACCTTGCTTGCTAAGCCCCTACAGTATCTGGGCACCTCTCTTTGAGCAGACATTTGCCAGGCCTTGGGACAGAGCCCACTCTGTTGTCACCCTGACTTTCAGCTCTGCCTGGCTTCCGGTCCTCTGTACGTCTGGCCTGTGTGCTCACTCCAGCATTCTCTACCCATCCCTGCCTGGCGTGTTATCTTAATTGCAAAGCTTTCAGCTGCAAGGAACAGATGACCTGATGAACAAATGGGGTTTTGTTTCCCAAATATAGCTGGTCCTGGGGTAAGCCATGAGGGGCTGGTGGCTCCGTGAGGGCGGCCAGAACCAGGCTCTTCCTGTCTTCGAGAACAGTCCTGCTGAGCTAGTGTACAGCTTGCTTCCTCAGTGTAGCCACGCTAGCCAGACACAAGGGGCAGCACAGTGTCTAGCCCAGCTGTCCCTCTTCTCAAGAAAAGCTGTGCCTTCCTGAAAGCCCGATTGTAGATGTCAGCTTCTCCAGAAGATGTTACCTGATGACCCCTAGCTTCAGGGCAAGGATTTAGATTTTTCCCACCATCATAGTAGAGGCAGGCGAGGGTCTCCCATCAGCATTTGCCACACACACTTTCCAGAGCCACAGCCATTTGCTAGATTTTCCTCCAGAAGTGGCTCTCACCACCTAGTACAGAGCTTCAGCTGTGGTCTGGTTGGCCTGGGATTGAATGGGCCTGGTGCCTTCCTTGCCACAGAAGTCATCCTATTAGTGCCACGTTTTGGGCCACTGTGATACCATCCCTCCCATTCCTGTACATGGATTATTGTTAGGTCAGGTTTTTTCCATCCTGTATAGGTGCACTTCGGTTTTTTGAACTTCTGTTTCTACCAAAGTCTGTCTATTGGGTGGCCCTATGTTCCAGGTGGTCATTAGTGATCCTTCGAAGCTGCTTGCGATGGGTAGATCCCACAGGCAGGCCTGGTGCGTCTTTCGTTTTTGAGACTTAGTTCTGTATGCACGGCCCTTGGAAAATCCAAGTCCACAATAAACACGGTGGGGGCGGGGGGGGGGGCGTCCCAGCAAGTTTGAGATGGTCCTTGGGCTACCTCCCCCAGGGCACAGTTACTCTGACGCAGCTCTGCACTGCCCCCTCCATCCTCCTTTCATAAGGCTGGCCCGGTCCTCAGGGGGGACCTGCTGCAGTTAAGCTACTAACTGTGTTGGCAGCAGCTCTGGAGAAACCACCAGGGCTGGCTTCATGGGCACGCACCCTATGCAGCCACACGGGGCCCAGCGCTTGTTTTAATGTTCTGCTCTTGCTGTCTGGAAGATCCTGATTTTTGAACCAGGGCCTCTGCATATCCATTCTGCACTGGGCCCCGCAATCCCGGGCAGGGCCTGATTGCCGTACTGCTGATTGGATGTCTTTAGGGAAAAAAAAATGAATGTGTGCGTATACACAAATGGGTTTGGTTTTGAACACCTATAAAGTGTACGAAGCCCGTGTTCTCTATAGGTTTCTCTCTGTATGTATCTTTATAGATCCACATGTAATATATAAAGATCTCCCTTTGCAACGGCAAATGCTTAATAACTTGCTCTCTACTTTTCTGAATTTCCTGTCACATGCCCACACTTGCCAGGGTATGGACCAAGGATTTTCATGCCGTTTAAGCTAAATACTTCATCTCAGTCTTGCCTTTCCTGTGCTTCTGCATCCTGCAGCATCAGTGGTGCTGGGTCTCCCCCGATGAAACATCTCTGACCCCTACCCCAACCCCGGCACCTGCCCGTGGCCATGAGGCACCATCTAATCCCTTACCATTCTGGGAGCCCACTTCCCAGAACTTTCCTGCACAGACGGCGGGGGCCGCTCAGGTGGTGTTGGAGGGGTGGGCAGCGGGAACTGGACTTGTACTTTTCCTCACCAGTGCAGGTCTGACTTCTCCACCAAGAGCTTTCAAATGGCTTCGGCAAGTGGCATGTCAGGGCCAGCCTGAGTGCTCCACCTCCCATGTTCGGAAAACTAGGCAGGCGCCCCCAGAGCTTCGGCCTGCCTCCCCCGCTAACCCTGTCCTCCCCCGCCAACCCTGTCCTCCCCCGCCGGTGAGCCCACGGCACCCCACCCATCTCCACTTGTGAGGCGGCCCCTAGGCCCTGGCTCCTTCACCTGGTGGCGTTTATCTGCCCGGGGGAAACAGAGTCAGGATGTTTGGAGCCTTCCCTGTAGGCTGACAGGAGCTCACTCTCTCGCCCTGGATGGGTTGCAACCCACTTTGTTCCCGTCAGGGGTTCAGCATTCCCTCCAGGATGTCGCAGGCACCTCTTCCGAGTCACCTACCTTTTGTGCTGCTTCCCTGCACCAACGAAAGCCTCAAGACACTTCTCGTGTTAGATGTGAGACCGTCTGCAAGGCGGTGCGCAAGTTATTAATACCCTATTTTTTGACAGAACGAGGCTTCCAGCAGATGGTGCTTGGAAAGTCTCTTCCTCTCCACTGTCCTCCCCTGCCCTGTGCCAGCTTAGGGGGCCAGCTTAGGGAGCGAGCGGCCCCAGCTCCCTTCTGGCTGAGGGGCCTGGCACCTTCTCAGCGGCAGTGGTTCCCCTCCTACTGCTTTCCTGTCTGCACAGGTGCCTGTGCCATTATTTTGCCTCTGGCACACGAATTCATTTCTTAGTTCTTTGAATTAAATTACATCCCCAGAGGCCCCTCTGTGGAAAAGGGAATTGGGTTTCTCTAGATTTTTCCAAAGAACAGACCGAGGACTGGTGAATAAAGCAAGATTAGAACTGTGTTTGCTGAGCCTGAAAGCAAGCACGTGACCGAGCGTGGAGCACCCTCCGCATCCCTGGGAGGCCCCCAGCTGGAGCCGAGCGGTTGTCCATCCTCAGAGCTCTGGGTGTAGGGTTCACGTGCACCTAGACCCCACGAGCTGCAGCCCTCAGACTCTGCAGCTTTGGTATTTATCCGTTTCAGTCTAACAAATAGCATCCTGTCTCCGTATCTGCCTTTCCTGGGACTTGAGATGTTTTACCTGCATTTAAAGTGAAGGAGAAGGAAAGAGAATGGAGGGGAAAGTTTCGCTTTGCTTTGCTTGCCTCACTTAGGATGTAAGCAGCCCAGCCCCGGATCCAGAAATGATCTTTGAGAGCAGTAGTTCTCCATCCTGTGTACATTAGAATCATTTGGGGTGGGGGTGAGAACGATACTCCTGACCCAGCCCCACCCCAGGCCATCAGCACGAAAACAGCAGCAGCACAGACACACAAGGCGCCGCTCCAGCTGTTGAGAACCATCGGAGGGAGCGCTCCGTAAGTGGCAGTGTTCAGGCTGAGGGCCAGGGTGGCCGGGATATCGGGAGGGGGTTTTGATGGAAGGGCTCCTTTCAATCTCAGGTTCTATGATTCTACATAGTTACAAGTAACAAAATAAAACAGGACTTCTCCAGACCTTGATACACTCCAAGGAAAATTCTTAAAATGAATTCAGTGTTGTAACTGAAATTGCTTCCGTGGGACCGTCCCCCGTATGACGACGACGACGATGATGATCCGTATGTCCATACCTGCCTTTGAGAGAATCTTCTTCTTCTCATGAGGCATTCCTTTTGAGCGTCCTGGGCTCAGGATGCTTGTGAAACTCAATGAGTACAGTTTTGTGCTTTGGATACTTAGCAGACAAATCCTTAGTTGCTATCAGAGTGATTACAAACCGTGTTTCCTAAAGTGCGGTAAATTGATTATCCATTTCTCCTGATTAGGCAGCAGATGGATTTTTGTTTGTCGTAGGATGTGACCGAGGGAAGATACTCTTCGTCTCAGAGTCTGTCTTCAAGATCCTCAACTACAGCCAGGTATTATTGCTTATGCTTCTGTTGGTGGTGGGCAGCCTCACGGCTGCCAGAAAGGTCACCCCACTTTTTAGAAGAATTATAATATACAAGCCACACATAAAAGGCTTATATTATAACTCCCCCCCACACACACACCCAATGCTTCTTCCAGAAAATTTGTAATTTCTTAACAGAGAAGTAAATTTAAATCTAGAAAAAAAATCTTTTTTTTTAAGTTTTATGTATTTTTTTAGAGAGAGAGAATGCATGGCAGGAAGGGGCAGAGGGAAAGAGAATCTTAAGCAGCCTGCACTCAGTGCCGAGCCCGATATGGGGCTCAGTCTCATGACCCTGGGATCATGACCTGAGCCAAAATCAAAAGTCGGACTCTTAACCGACTGAGCCACCCGGGTGCCCCTAGAAAGAAATCTTTTTAGTATGTGTTCTATGCTTCCCTCACTGGAAGGTTTGACTGTGATCTCATCAACAGCTTTATACTTTCTTATTGCCGCACAGTGAATATCCCACAGCTAGAGAGAGCGGAGGAGGCACGAGGCAAGGGGCTACCTGACCAGGAAAGGCAGATGATAACCAGAGAATGAAACAATGGGGATCCACCCATACTGTGTTTGTGATGACGTATCCCTTTTTCATTCTATTGAATCTCGGCTCCTTCTAAAAATAAAAAAAAATGAGTGTAATAATACCTTTTATGATTGTTCATAGGATGCAGTAAGATAAGCATGCCCACAAGCTTCTAGAGCAAAGTTTTTTAAGCAGAGACACTCTGTCCCTAGCATTCTTATTCACGTATCCACCCATCCATCCACCTATTCACTCATTCCTTCACCTGCTGGTGTTTGCATGGGAAGCTGGTAGGTAGGCAGCAGAATTGAAGAATCCAAAGGATAGTTGTGTGAACTAGAATGAATGTAAGTTGGATGTATCCAGAGTGTCTTGCTCTTCTTGGTCTTGGGGAAAAGTTACGAAGGCGTTTCTTTTTTTCCCTGCTGCCACACAAGGCCGTGGAGGCACACGGTGTGACACAACAACACGAGGGCCCAGTGGGGCTAGAGTCCCCGCCCACACCCTGTGTTCCTAGCAGAGCATTTGTGGCATCCAGAACAAATAACAGGGAACACGTACAGCTGAAAGACTCCTGCCTTCGAGGAGCATGAACTATTTATAGAAGTATAAATATACGCCCTTCCCCCTCCTGTGTCATGGACACCAAAGTCCCGATGCCTCACTGCCTGTCCTGTGTGTCCCTAGGCACAGCGATTGGACAGGTGTACGTGTTCACACTGGACATATTTGAAATTCCCATGCCTAGAAATACAAACTAAAAGGCAGAGCACCTGTTGGCTAAGTTGTATCCCACGTGCTGTTGACGTGTGGTTTTCACGCTTCCTCCCCACAGAACGATCTGATTGGTCAGAGTCTGTTTGACTACCTGCACCCTAAAGATATCGCCAAAGTGAAGGAGCAGCTCTCCTCCTCGGACACGGCGCCCCGGGAGCGGCTCATAGATGCAAAAAGTGAGTCCAGGAGCAGGCTGCGGCTGCTTCCTCGGGGCCCGTCCGCACGGCTGAGCGAGGACTGCAGCGTGTGCCGATGCGCTCAGCCCCCGGCCTCCCTCCTCTCTGCCCCTTAACTGGGTCACACGTGCTCTCCTGGGCTCAATGCAGTTATCCACCTACCTTCCTATTTGTTTTGCTTTACGTAATGTCCAAATCCACAGGGAGGAAAAACAGCTATTTTGATTCTTTCTGGGTTTTAGACTCCCCACCCCCCAGAATCTATAAATTCCCAGTTGTGTGCTCCTGAGTTTAAAGGGCTCACACCAGTTTGATTCCACCACCCCCCTCCGGAAAAATTCCCTCTATTTACTCGAGTTACACTCATGCACCTCCTAAGATAAAAGTAAGAAAACTTGAAATATAAATTGGAAGTTTCTTTGGCCAAAGTGGTTCCTCATTAGTTGGGGCCCCCTCCTGGCTTCACGTCCCCCACCCCCACCCTGCTTCCCTCACCCGTGCCCCCCCATCCCTCCTGCGTGAGGCCCTGTAGCTTTCCCCCATCAGTCCCGGGGGAGCCTGTGTGCTCCGGCAGTTAGGAGCATGGAGTCTGGAGTCTGGTTGCCAGGCTCACTTCCTGGCTCTACCATTTGTCAGCTGTGACCTTTGACCTTGAGCAAGTTACTTAACCTCTCTGTGCCTCCGTTTCCTTATCTACAAAATAGTAGCGGTTTCGTGGGGTGGTTGCGAGGATTAACTATATCGCTATACATAAAGCACGTGGGGCAGCTCCTGGCACACAGTGGGCACGGGGTCAGTGCCACGAGCTCACGGGCCAGTGTGGTCACGGCCCAAGTTTCCTGCTTGCACGTTCCCCCATGTCAGCCCCCAGAGGGAAATGTCCCCAGAGAGACCTCCTTTAAACCATCCTTTTCATTAAGGCACTCCTCTTCCGAAAACTTCAGCGTGGCCCCTGGTCCCTGTTGCCTTTTCTAGTCTGGCCCTGGCAATTTTTGGTAGTGACATGAAGAGAAAAAGGAGGTGAGGTTTGGTCCTTGCCTTTAAGGCTTGTGCCATACAGTCGAGGAGACCTGGGGCCAGCACCCCGCGTGATAGGTACCTCCATAGAAATAGTGCCAAGCAGAGAGAACAGAGGACTCGTTCTCATGTGGACACGAGGACAGGCATCCCCGAGGAGGTGACGGCTGGGGTGGGTCTGAAAGGAGGAGTCGGGGTGGGTGCACCAGGTGACAAAGAGAGGAACAGAGCCGGGGGCGGGGGGGGGAAGGATCTCGGGATGGAGACGCATCCCCGCTGTGTGCTAGGGCGAAAAGGATCGGGGAGGGGGCCGTGTGTATTCCAGGGAGGCTCACCCGGGAGGCCCTGTGGGAGGTAGGTTGGAGGGGTGACGTCCAGGAGCAGCCCCGGCGGTGGCCCCCCCTCTGGCTTCTCCCACGGTGGGCGCTCGTTATCCCCGGACAGTCTGCAGACCAGTAGCCAGTGTTCGCAGCAGGATCGCAGGCCCGCTCCTACCGGTAGCTGCTTTCTAGGAGATCTGGAAACCTTTCCAGATTGACAGCCCGCTCACCCGCGATGCGTCTTTCACGGCGTCAGTGAGGAGGAATGGTCAGTATGAGGCAGTGAGGCAGGAAAGAGGAGGCTTTCTTCAAGGTCACTCTCCCCCTCCTGACAGACAGTACTACTCTCAGTTTATCACATTCTGTGTATTGATTTGCAGCTGGACTTCCAGTTAAAACAGATAAAACCCCTGGGCCATCTCGATTATGTTCTGGAGCACGACGTTCTTTCTTCTGTAGGATGAAGTGTAACAGGCCTTCAGTAAAGGTGGAAGACAAGGACTTCCCCTCTACCTGTTCAAAGAAAAAAGGTAACCGTTTCACTTCTTCACGATCTTCTTGTAGGGCCACCGGGGCGGCCTGGGTCGCGAGCTCGCGGTCGTGGGGTCGAGCCGCGCATGGGGCTCTACGTCCAGGGTGGAGTCTGCTTCAGATCCCCTCTCCCTCCCACGCTGTCTCTTCTCTCTTGCTGTCAAGAAAATAAATAAAATCTTTAAAAATAAAATAAGAAAATCCTGATACAGGCGAGGCTGGCTTGGTGCACGGGAGCGCTCAGCACGGTATTGGCTCAGCGGTCCCCTGCAGGTCCCAGGACTGCAGTCCCGGGGGCCATTGTCCCCTACAGAGTAGGGCCGTTGGGGAGCAGGGGAGATTGGAAAGCCCCGACGGTTGTCACAGTGACAGAGACTCGTGGGAAAGCTTCCTCCATTTAAATTTTGTTTCCATGTGGTTGAGAAGGAACACCCTGAGCCACGATGCCAGCCGCTTCCGAGCATCCCACTCGCCTGCTGAAATTACTCTTGCCGCATCCACCAATGACTTCCATGTTGCTGAACACAATGGACACTTATTTTTCTTCCATCTTAAAGTATTTTTTTCCCCTAGGATTCCATGAAACCTCCTACTTCTCGTCTCCCCCATCCTCTGCCACTCTAGGCCTCCTCCCCACCTCCTTTTGCTGGCTCCTCATCTGTCCTGCACCACCTTTCTATCTACACGTGATCCGTAGGCCATGTCTTCTCCCTTGGTTTGCGGTGCCACTTCCATGCCGGTGGCTTCCAAGTTTCTATTTCTGGCCCAGGTTTTTCTTTTGAGCTGCAGATCCATAAGTCGGCTTCTTAAATCTATCTGCTCAGCCGTCTCAAGGGCACCTCAAACCTGATCTGTGCGGAAGTGACCACCGAGCTCCTCCCTGATGTAAATGGCACCACAGCACCTGGCTGCACATCCTGGGAGCTGGAGAGGTGCCCTCAGCCCGCTTCACTCCTCCCTCTTCCAGTCCGCTCAGGTGCAAAGTCCTGCCACCATGAACCCCCTACAGAAGTTATCCGACTGCGCTTATCCACCTCCCCGTTGACCGATCACTCAGACCCGGGCTACCCTCCGCTCTCACCACGGCCGGTGGAGTAGGCTCCTCACACTTGCCTTCTCTCCACACAGCAGCCAGAATGATCTTTTTAAAGCAAACCTGTCTATTGGTTCCCTACTTAAAACCCTATAGTGTTTCCCATTGCTCTTGGAGAAAAGTCAGGAGTCCTTAACGCGACCGCGACCGCCCCCACTCCACATGTTCAGCTGTGGCGACTTCCTTTCGATGCCTCCTCCCCCTTTCTGCCGTGGTCTCCAACTGGAACGCCTGCCCCCCACGCCTGTCCGTCGGCTCCCTTCAGCCAGCTGGCTGGCCTTCTCCTTTAGAGCCTGGCATCGGGGTCAGGCCACCCCGGGCCCTCCTGTAGCCCCTGCAGGTGCCCTTGCTAGCACTTTCTTGCAGTTGCACTGTGCACTCATTCATACGCTTGAGTCTGTGTGCTCCGTGCGGCACGTCCGATTGGTCTTCCGGTGACTACCCCGGACCTGATGCTCAGTGAGCGCCCCGTAAGGATGTGCTCGTTGTTGAACTCCACAGCTGTTCTGCACGGAATGTGTCCAGGTGAAATCCTTCTCCCTCTTCTCTAAGGCAGACTCCATGTCCTCTCTTCTCCGAGTCCCTGAGCAGCAGCAAACATTCAATCCAAGAAAGGTGGAGTCCCCTTCGTTTTCTTTCTTCATACCAAATGTTTTGATATTCCCGCCAGACCTCACGAGTTCTCAGGAACCTCCCGGCCTCCTCGTCCTCCCTGCGGGGCCAGAGCACATCCTCACCACCTCTTGCTGTGTCCTTGTCTTACTCTGTGTGCTCCTTGCTCTTCCGGTTTACCTATCGCTCTGCTCCTAGGGTATCCAAACCACCATTTCCTTTGCTGTTTCTCCACTTAAATACCTTCAGAAGCTCTCCATTTCTTGTCTGATAAACACGTATTTGTTAGCAAACAGTCTAAGACCCCAATAATCTGCCCCCAACTCACCGTTCCAGCTCCACCTCCAGCCCCTCCCTTTCCACTTCAACCACACCGAGCTCTCTATTGTTTCTTGTACGGGGATGGGACGTGCCTCTGTGCTTTGTACCTTCTCAACCTTCGTACATCCTAGTCCCTTAGCCAGTGCTCATCCTTCTTGATCACCTCCTACGTGGTTTTCCTGGGCGGCTCTCCTCTCCCCAGGTAGATTGAGTGACTCCTTCCTTGGTATATGCGATGGCCTTGGCATAACCGGTCGTGCTCCACACGTAGGCCCCAGGATGATAGCTGTCTGCTTCTAAATCTTCCTCTCTTGCCAGTTCTCCCTTCCAGAGAGTAGAGCTTTGTTCACTTTTTGACTCCCTTCCCACATCCCGGCCCACCACAGGCTGCCCATGCCTGCTTGCCCAGAGCCGTCCTGTCACTGACCATGGACTTTGCTTTCTAGCAGATCGAAAGAGCTTCTGCACCATCCACAGCACAGGGTACCTGAAGAGCTGGCCACCCACAAAGATGGGGCTGGACGAGGACAGCGAACCAGACAACGAGGGCTGTAACCTCAGCTGCCTTGTCACCATTGGACGCCTGCATTCTCACGTGGTCCCACAGCCGGTGAACGGGGACATCAGGGTGAAATCCATGGAATATGTGTCTCGGCATGCGATAGATGGGAAGTTTGTTTTTGTAGACCAGAGGTAAGAGTCTGCGAACTACCCTTGAACAATAATGGTACAAGATTTTCACCTCTGAGTAAAGCAGAGAAGGCTGGGCCATCAGCTGGCTTCCCTGAGGGTAAAGAGAGAAGGAAGCGATGGGGATCTCTGCTAAAAAATGAGACCCATCCGAATGTCATCATAAACAGAGATTTTTCTCTCTAATGCTCTTTGGCGTGTAGCGACAGTTAAGGAGACATCGTCACGGTCGGAGGTCCATGGCCAGGGGAGAAATGATAGGCCTGGGATGCTGTCTGAGGGCGGGTGGAAGGTTCAGGACCACAGCTGAGATCAGAATTCTGGACTGTGGGGCTTGGAAAGATGATCTAGTCCTGAGCTGTCTGGTACAGTGGACGTTGGCTATAGCAATCTCACACGGCTATTCAAGTTTTTTTTTTTAAGATTTTATTTATTTACTCATGAGAGATACAGAGAGAGAGAGAGAGAGAGAGAGGCAGAGACATAGGCAGAGGGAGAAGCAGGCTCCATGCAGGGAGCCCGACATGGGACTCGATCCCGGGTCTCCAGGATCAGGCCCTGGGCTGAAGGCGGTGCCAAACCGCTGAGCCACCCGGGCTGCCCGGCTATTCAAGTTTTAATTGAAACTACACTCAGAGGTGTCCGGCTCCCTAGGCACACTGCAGGTGCTCAGCTACATGAGGCTGAGGGCACAGGCCTAGCACATCGCCACTACAGAAAGCTCCATCAGCAACACTGACCTAGTCCAGTCTCACTCTTAATAGATGAGGAACTGGGGCCCCCCCGATGACTGGCCCCCTCCCATTCACAGCTGAGCGGTACTAGACCTGAGCCAAGAACCCAGATGTCCCAAGTTTGCCACTGCTCTCTGCTGTCTCCTTGAGAATATTCACCGGCTGATTATTTTTCTGGCTATTAGAAATAATCACTACATACTAGAAAAAGACACCACCATTTTCCAGGGCTCTTGTGTCCCCTGCCACTGGAGCTTCTGATGTTTGATCATCCTGATTAAAAAAAAAATGTAGTGAGATAGAGAAGGTTTGCCCTGGGGTTTGGAATTCTATCACATTTTTGGCTAATATGGTTACATTTTAAGCCTCCTTTGTTGGAAAACAGCCCCTTTGAAAGGCTTCTTTCCTTTCTTTTCCCTCTGCTTTTATAGTGTTGGTTAAGTTCAGTTGCACCAAAAAAAATATATAAATATATATATTTTATGAATATATATATATTCATATCCACCTAGTAAGCCCTCTGGAAGGCCATCCAGGGTGGACCTTGTTCTCATCAGCTCTGGCGGGGTTCATCCACTGAGCAGAAACCATCTCAATAACTTTTTTTTTTTTAATATTCTAGGGCAACAGCTATTTTGGCATATTTACCACAAGAACTTCTAGGCACATCATGTTATGAGTACTTTCACCAAGACGACATAGGACAACTTGCAGAATGTCACAGGCCAGGTAAGCTGGGCTGTACGAAAGGTTTTAAGGTCAGGGTGTCCCCCTGCTTCAAAACTAGTCCGCATAAACGTTCCAGAGAAATCTGGTTTACCAGACCCCCTGGTGACGTGGGGGTCAGCCAGCCCAGAGGTCTCGAAGCCAACATCTCTGAGGTGACGAGGCTGGTGTTCCCAGGCCCTGTTTATCCCCTCAAGGAGAACCCACCTCGGCCTGCCTAGCATTTTTCTGTACTTAGGACAGTGCAGTTTCTGGAAAGTCTCTCTTGTTCAGAGGATTTACAGGAACGCTGTAAAGATTTAGCTCAAACAAATCTGATTCTCTTTTCCATAAAAACCCGCAGTGCCTTCTGTATTTTCCCTTGACTTTTGGCACCGGCACAGACTAGCCTCCTGGGAGGGACCAGTACTGACCCCTTCCCTCTGTGTCCCGTTGGTTCACCTCAGACCTGCACTTCCAAAGAGGCCCCTTGTTGTACCTCCACTGCCACAGCCCTGACTCAGGCCCTTGTGCCCAACCCATAATTGTGATCGACTCCTAGCAGGCCTCCCTGCTCCCTTCTGCCCCCAGCCCCTTCCATGTTTCATACTTGTCCCATTTATGCCCCAACAGGTTGAGCTCGATAATGTCACATCCCTGCCTGAACCTATGGCCTTTAGACTCCAGGCCTTTGACCAGTGTTCAAGGCCCTCCTCAGCTTCACCCCCACCAGGCCCTGCCACTTGTGGGGCACTGCTGAGTCCTTCCCTCCCTCCCTCCGACACACTTGTAACCCTCCTTCCTCTGCGTAGCCGCTCCTCATTCCTGTCCTGAGGGCAGGGGTCATGCACCGCCCCCCTCCATCCCCAGTGCCTGCCTGGCACATGAAAGGCGCTTGTTCCATGTTCGTCATATAAAATAATGAGATGTGACTAGGTGAGTGACGTCCCGGGCTTCAGATGTCCTAAAAGTGCTGCCCTGCCCTCTGGCTTTGTGATGGGGAAGGAACAGGGGCCCTTTGGACGCTTGTGGCTCCCTTCACAGCGGGTCCCGGCCACGCGTCTGAATTGCAGTTGTTCCCTGGCGCCTGCAGTTCCTACGCTGAACAACAGCGGGAGATTCACGGATGAATCGAAAGGCTGCGAGTCAAGGCCTCAGAAGCAGCCCAGCCCGAGCGCCCGCCCCCGTGGCGCAGCGTGAGCAGCGCGGCAGGCCCGGGCGCCTCCGTCGCAGAGCACGAGCCCCTTGAAGGGTGGCGGCAGCGGGGCCCCGGCACACGTAGGGTTTGCTTAGTTCACTGCGTTGGTCTCAGGAAGCAAGATTCACGGTTTCTTTGCATTTTCAGTTTTACAGACGAGAGAAAAGATCACGACTAATTGCCAGAAGTTTAAAGTCAAAGATGGTTCTTTCATCACGCTCCGGAGTCGATGGTTCCGTCCCATGAACCCTTGGACCGAGGAAGCAGAGTACATCGTGTCAACCGACACTGCCGTCTTGTAAGTGTCTCCCCGCCCGGGAAGCTCTCTGGCGTCCAGGACGAAGGCCCGGCTCCTTACCCGGGAAGGCGGGCGCAGGCGGCAGCCAGTGGCGCACCCTCTAAGGCGACCCTGCCCAGATCCTGGGAGGCCTCGGGGTGGGCAGAGGCCAAAGGGGCCGGTAACCAAGAACACGCTTCGACGCGCACGCCGTGCAGGCCCCCGGCTCGGGGAATTGCCCCGGGAGCAGCAACCGTTCCTTCCCGATACGGCAGTAGCTTTTGGTGCCCGAAGGCCCTGCACGCTGGGCGCCTGGGTGCTGCCGTGCAGGGGCCGACAGCCCAGGGGCGCTCGCCCGGGTGCCGCCTCATACTGGCCTTGGCTCAGGGCCCCCGTGCCCGCCAGGCTGGCCGCCCGAGCGCTGGCAGCCCGAAGCCCGCCTCAGAGGCCGCCACCTGCCAGGCGAGCAGGGAAGGCCCCTCTTGGGCAAGGACTGCTCCCCGCATCTCCTTCCCCATGGTGTCCAGACCCCCACCTGTGGCCAGAGCGGAGTGAGGGGCCAGGGCTAGGTCCCTGCAGACTGGCAGGAGAGGAGGCCCCGTAGCGATGGCAGTGGGCGGCTGCAGTCACCTTCTCTGCCGGACTCTGTCCCCTACAAACCAGGAAGGCCCAGGCAGGCAATGAGGCCAAAGGCCGGGATGCTGTCCACCGTGTTCTCGAACAGCGAGGAGACCTGCTGAGCCACTCAGGCAGACACTTCACTTTCTGGCCTGTCCAGGTCCAGAGTGGACACTGGACACCTTGGCCAAGGTGAAAGGTGCACGGTTCTGAGCAGGCCTGACTCATGTTTCCTTATTGCTGGGATGTTCACAGAGCCAACGTCCTGGAAGGCGGGGACCCAACCTTCCCGCAGCTCACAGCGTCCCCCACAGCATGGACAGCATGCTGCCCTCTGGAGAAGGTAACTATGTACGGCAGGGGCATCGGGGCTTGCCCATGAGAAGCTGCTCGTGGCCAGTGTACCCCCGCCCCAACTATTTGGTGTCCCCAGCCCCCATATTTTATGGAAGGGAGGCTTCAAGGAGATGAGCCCTAACGACGTCCTCTCACTTTCTCTGTGGAGCCTGGAATACTGAGAGCTCGTTCCAAGGTTACTGGGACCTTGGAAGCCCTTGAAATAGGAAACTCGTTGCTCCTCTTGGGCTTTCCTCCGTGTTGCCCAGTGCTGGGATGTTGTGCTTTTTGGTACTGTCACTGGCTCCTGGGGGGAGGAGGGTGTCTGTCAGCGGGGCTCCCTCTGGGCTTGGCCCTGGCCTCTGCACCTGACGTACCCTTCCACGGCACCACCTCTGCTTGCATGGCTTCCTTCAGTCCCCTCCTCTCCACCACTGACTCTTACCTCTGATCTCTCTGTCTCTGGAGCCATAGGTCTGTCTCTCCAACTGCCTCCTGGACAGAGCCACCTGGAGTCTCAAAAGCACCTGAAATTTAGCCTCTCCAAACCGATTCTCTGCACTCCTTCATCTGGTTGGTTAAGCCAGAAACCTTGACTCTTCCTTCTTGCCTGTTCTGAGCACGAGATCCTGTCCCTTCTGCCCCTCTTAGACTTCTCCATCTCCCTCCCATCTGTCGCCCGGATTGTTGCAGAGAATTGTTTAATCGTAGTCTTACTCCCCCACCCAACCCCTTTCCTCCGCTGTAGTTCACGCTCCACGCAGTGGACTTCCCAGTAACCCTAAGTGCCTTTCTGTGCGAAGTGTTTGGCGGCACGCCTTATCTCTGGATCCTGTCTAAATCCATTAGTATGGCATCCAGGACCTTTCATCCAGGTACCTCCTCCAGTTTCATCTGTCACTCTTTCGTCGTCGTTCATGATGAAGTTCTTGGAGTAGTCTCCCAAGTTGTGTCCTCCCTCAGTGCTCTTGCGCATATTGGTTGCTGTGCATGGAACGCCTTGCCCTCCCTACCTCTCTGCCCAGCTAATTTCTACTCCTCTCTCAAGACTCAGCTCAGTGTTAAACTTGCCCGGGAAGCTGTACCTGGGCCTGGAGGAGTTGGGTGCCTTGTACTTACCTGTCAAACTTACCACACTTTGTTCCAGCCATTGTTCATCTCGTCTCCCTGTTAGACTGTGAGCTCCTTGGGGGCAGAGCTGCCGACTTACCTCTGGGACCCTGGCTTGCTGTACCGCGGTAGTCGGTAAATGGATGTTGAGCGCGTGAGGGGAACCAGAGCCCTTGCTTTGGCCTCTGATCCTGGACGCAAACTTGAGCCTTCTGCTGGAATGACTTTTCCTGACAAGCTGCAGCTCTGCTGTCCCTTAGGGCATAACCCTAAGGTTAAACTTCAAGTGGATCACAAGATGAACTGGTTTTAACTCACAATAGCATTTCTTCCTTGGTTCCCCTTTCCCACTCTCAGATTCCTTTGTTGTAGGTGGCCCAAAGAGGACCCACCCCACTGTTCCAGGGATTCCAGGGGGAACCAGGGCTGGGGCAGGCAAAATAGGTCGAATGATTGCTGAAGAAATCATGGAGATCCACAGGCAAGTAACACCTTCTGGTTGCTCCCTTAAACCAGTGGTTCTCAACCCAGGGCATTTTGCCCCCCCAAGAGATGTTTTGTAATACCTGGAGATATTTTTGGTTGTCATAACTGGGTAGGACGTTGCTGCTAAATACCCAGTGGATAGAGACCAGGGATGCTGCTTGCTAAACATCCTGTAGGACACAGGACAGCCTTCCTGCCATCTCCTTCTACCCGAAACAAAGAATTTTCCAGTCCCAAATGTCAATGGTGCCGAGATTGAGAAATCTGGCCTTAAAGAGTGAAACCCAAACAGGCCAGAGTTAAAGGGAATTCTTTGGGGACTCAATATTCTCATTACTTAATTATGACTCAAGGGGCTCATGAGGATGGATGAACACTGCAACATTACAGGACTGCGACATTACAGGAGTGGCGACAGTCCGTGATCTGGGCCTCAACACGACGTTAGCTGCTTCTAGTCAAAGCTGCCTGGCTTCGATAAGAGCCCACGCAGAATCTCTCTTGAGAGGGCTTCTTTTCCATATTTAAGTAGTTTACTGGAGTTTGAGTTCCGGGCTCCTACTTGGCTGTGCTTAAGAGATTCACTTAACTTCCTGGTCTCTGTTGAATTAAGCCATAGAAGGCAGGTAATAACGATCTCCCAAGAATTGCTTTAGGAGTATGAGAGGTCTCAGGAATGTTCCTAGGGTAGAAACTGACATACGGTGAGTGCTCAGAGATTAATTACATCTGAGTCTTTAAGAGTAGTGATTAAGAGGGAAGCAGTTATACATTCAACTGAATTTGGGGAATGGAGAGGGTGGTAACCAGGTCCTTAGGGGAATGCACACTTAATGGAACATAACAGGAAAAGGGATAAACTATTCCCTGCTGCCACTGGATTGATTCTCTCAGAATTGGTTCTCAGGAGAGCTGAAAGCCGTTTTTCTAGATGGCTCTTATCCCGGGGGGCAGGACAGCTCTGCTCCAGCGCTTGGGAATAATGGATATGATCCCTTGGGTCTACTTCAGGAAGATGTTGGGGCAGTGTGCAGTGAGAATCAGATTCTTACTGGCCACTACCTACATATTCTGTGCTTTGCCTGAAACCATCCAAGAACAGTGTAAAGCAGTCCTGGACCTCAAGGATCTTAAAATCTTTTGAGAAGTGTATTGTTTCTTTATGATAATAGTAAAAAGGAAGAGTGCATGAGCTGAAGCAAGGATGGGAGATTGCTAAGAATCCTAATAAATAATGCTGAGAAGTTTAGACTGGAAAAAAAAATTAAGACCCCATTCATTGTAGGATGCTGAGCAGATGTCCAGAATGTGCTAACAAGCATTATGGAAGCTGGACTGGAATAGAAGAGATGAAGGTGAACATGCTTAATAACCCAGGAATGAGGCCCATTCCTCAGTGATGAAAAATCAGTAATTTAAGGACAAGAAATCAAAGATGGAATAACAATGAAAAGGCAATCCCAAAATGGGGAACCCGGGGAAATAGTGGCTTCATAGACCTAAGTAGGGGAAGATGGGAGACATTCAGCAATTTTTCAGTAAGTGGTTCGTACCCATCTGTGTGCTAAGAGTACATGGCGTATAGCTGTAGTCTGCCGGTGAGGAGCTTCTGCTCTGGGACAGAGAAAGCTTATCCACTCCCAAGTCTACGGAACTAGGCAACACAGGCCAATGGCCGGAGGACTGCTGAGCCGTTGAGAGCAGGGTGCCTGGGTAACCCAGGAAGTTGCATTCATCTCTGTAGAAGCTAAGGGCCTGGTGGTGACACAGCTGCCACCATACTCCAGCTTCACTGCCAGGCCATGGCTTCTTTCCTGAGCTCCTTCAGCCTGATGAGCATGTGTGGGGGTTTACAGTTCTAAGACTTTCTCTGCTAATCTACTATAGTGAGAAACGTGCCAACTGAGAGGGCCTGGACCCATTTTTCATCGCCTTTAAAAGGCAGTAGGGACAGCTGCTCTACTACTACTACTACTATTACTGCTACTATTACTGCTATTACTACTTACTGTTCCTACTACTGCAAGGCTACTTTCCAGGTGTGGGTTAGCCACCCTGGCACCTTCTACTTCCTAAGAGTATTCACTAGCTAAAAAGTATTTGTAGGGAAAAGGAAAAATCACTTGCTGTGCCTTCTAGTTCATGGTATTAAAGATAGACGTTGAATTTCTAAAGTCCCGTCCAACTCTGAGATCTGGATTCTACAAGAAATGAAACTGCCCACTTACTTGAAACTCAGCAATCTGAAATCCAAACCCTAAACCAAGGGCTTTGTCAGTGAGATGCTGGACTCCGGGGTCTGCACTCTAGATCCGGTGCCTGTAGAATAAATACAGCTTCTCGCCTGTATTTGTAAATGTAATTTCACTGGAACAGAGCTACCCCCATCAGTTTCCATATGGTCTATGGCTGCTTTCAAGCTACAACGGCAGAACCGAGCAGTTGTGACCAAGACTGTACGGCCTACAGAGCCTAGGTAGTTCCTGTTTGGCCCTTCACAGACAAAGCTGGCCAATCCCCGTTCTAGTTCTTACCCTACCCCTCACACACCACTGAAGGAAAGAAATTTAACTAACTCCTCTTTTCTCTGACAGAATAAGAGGGTCATCACCTTCCAGTTGTGGCTCCAGCCCATTAAATATCACAAGTACACCTCCCCCTGATGCCTCTTCTCCAGGAGGCAAGAAGGTAAGGCTGATGACTCTTAGACTAAGGCCCTTCTTAATCCAGAGAGTCTCTTGCCCAAGTTCTGAAATGCTGGGGTCGGGAGTATATAATTACCACTGTGGTTGCTGAAACAAGTTGGACCCTCTTCCTTTTAAGTTAATGCATCTGTGTGAGTTTGGGTATAAAGCTTACTGGTGGAGCTGGAGAGGCTTGCCGACGTCCTTAGATGATTTATTCCATGTGAATGGAGGAAGGTAGAAAGGATGTTCTAAGGAATGGAGGGAACAATTCAAGAGCTCCCATGAAGGAAGGATTAGTGAGTACGTCACGTAAAAAACTGCCAAGAATTTTCTGCCAAGAATTTTCAAGGGAGAAAATATTAGTCTCTAGTGCAGGCACTGGAAGCCGTGATACTAGCAGGAGCACGCGGGTGCTTTGGAGGGCAAGCCACGCCTTCACAGCTGCAGAATGCATGGGGCTCTGCTGCCTGGGTTTCCCAGGACGTGTCAGCACTGGGTACAGGTACTGTGTCGGTCACCAGCCCTCATGAAGAGTTGGCTGGAAGATTATGCCGTCAGTAGGCTTAGAGGCCAGTCATGTGTTTTCATCTTTGCCAGAGAATTTACAAGTGTAGGGCCGTATTAGTTGTAAATCCTAAATCTGTAGTGCCTGATGTTTTTTGTTTTCTTTTTTTTTTTTTTTTGTAATGCCTGATGTTAATTTAGGTTAGGATGACCCAAGGGCCAGCATCTTTGGACATAGTCTTCTTTCCCTTAGCTCCCAAACCATAGAGAGAGAGAAAAAAATATTAGCAATTTATATAGACAGGACTCCTAGAACACAAATTATACCAAAAGCAGGACATGGGTTTTCAAAACTGCATTTCTCTGAGGCTCAGGTTACCAGGAGTTGCGGTGCTGCCAGGTAAGATGGGGCAAGGATGGCTGGTGAGTAGAGAGGGTAAGGTCAGCTTCTACTAGGGCAGCTCTATTTTTACATATGAATTTTCTGTAAAAATTTCTATTTGAAAATAAGTTTTGATTCCACCTCCCCTCCCCCACCAAAAGTTAGAAAGTCAATAAATTAATGTGTAAGAGTGGTCCATGAAAGACCTGGGCTTGAAGCCTGGCTTTGCCATGTGCTAGCTGTGTGACCCTGTAGAATTATTTAGCCCTAGTTGTTGTTTTATAAAAGGGCTACTAAAGGTTAGGACACTCAGCATCTTTGCACATTAAGTCCTGTTATGAGGTAATATATGTGAAAGTGCCTGGTCTTTGGTAAGGACTCAGAAGATAGCACTAAGAGATAAAGCCTAGGCTTGGTACATCCCCAGTCCCTGCTTGCAGGTTTTGCTCTTAGGTCTGTTCTCCTGTTTCATCCCTAGGTCCTTCTTCCATACTGGACCCACCATCTCCTTGGGGTGGTCTCCCCTTCTCTACTTCTCAGCTCTACTTTTAGGCACTTGACTTCCTTGTATTACCAAGAATCCCAAAACTACTCTGTTTTGAAAGGGTATCACTCCAGTAGAATGCTTAAATATTACTCCGAGAACTTCTCTATATATTTTCTAATCTTAGCCTCACAACTTTGTGACAAAATCTAAGCTCCCAAATATTAAATGCTGGGCTAATCATTTAAAAGTACAGTCCCAAACTTAAGGTCGGGTCTCTTGACTTTTGATTCTTTCCACACCAGCAATTTCAGAGCTCTAATGTACTCCACACACAAAGTCCCAAGTATTTTTGAGGCATTTATGAGAAATTTTTTTCTTTGGGCTTATAAAAATGGGTCTGAGAGAAGAAATTCTGAATATATTCTGAGTCCTCAGCAACAGGACTTGTAAAAGTAGCTTAAACAAGATGGGAGTTTGATAGCAGCCATGAGACTAAAGGTGGCCCCATGCTTCCAGCCCTTCCCAGTCACTTTCAAATTGGGCAGATCCAAAAATGAGCCATTTAGCTTGACAGTTATTTCATTCAGAGTCAAGCTAAAAAAGTGAGGCTCTAAGTGAACCTAGGTCCCAGGAGAGTCTGGACATCCAGGGGTACTACGGCAGGTTCAGCTAAAGCAGCAGTTCCCTGATGTTGAGAGGGGAAGATCCTTTCAGGGGTCTGCAAGGTCAAAAATCTTTTCATAATATAAAACTTTTTTTTTTTTTTCACTGCGTTGATACATGAACTGCTAGTGCAAAAGCAGTGTTGGGTAAAACTGCTGGTGCTTTTGCGAAAATCACGGCAGTGGCACCGAACTGTACTAGTAGTCACTGTATTCTTCAACACCATACGCTCACAATAAAAAAAAAAAAAACCCACAAATTTTCAAGCCAGTTTCACTTAATAATGTCCTTAATAAGCAATAAAAACATTCTATAAAATCCTTGAGTAAATCTTAACACTGTTAAAAAATGGAAGTATGAGTAAAGCGCTTACACTGCATACTGAAGTTCAATGGTTGTCTCAAGGAAAAGCACTTGCCAGGCTGTTAGGAGCTAAATGAACTGCTTTTGTCAAAGGACACCATTTTTATTATTGCAAACTGTGGTTATTCGGACTTGGGTATTTACCGTATATTTTCTTGAAAATGAATGAACTGGTGAGTTCAAGGAAGACAGCTTGACAGTATTTGTTGCCCATGAGAAAATTATAGCTTTCAAGCAAAAATTAGAATTTTTGGAAAACTTGGATTTGCTACTTTGAACTCAACAGCTTCCCAAAACTTAAAGGGTGTTTCTGATGATAGAGGTAATATTAACAATGGAGATGTTTTGAAATGTGTCAACAGTTAGATCTGCTTCACTCAGCCAATATTTTCCAAATGACAAATGCAAGATACTTCAAAATCATGCAAAGGTATACCAATGGATTTTTATATAGTAGAGTGCAGGGATTTCATTGATATGGTTTGATGCCACATTGCACTTAATCTTTAAGAAATTTCCACTTGTTGAGTTTTGATGTAATATCAAAGAATACCAAAGTTATTTGAAAAGGCTATTAAGATGAACCTTTCCCAACTACATATGTGACTTCCCTCATATACTTCAAACATCTAAACAGACTGAAGAAAATGAGAATCCAGTTAAATCCTATTAAGGCAGACATTGGATTTGGGGGGAAAAAAAGTAAAACAATGATACTTTTTTGCTCTTTTAGAAAAGCTATTTTTCATTAAAATGCTATTTATGTTAACATGTAGTCGGTTTATTAGATTTTAGAAATTTATTAGTTTTCAAATATAAAAAATACTGATATAGTGTATGTGAACAAAAGTTCTTTGGAGTTCTCAATTCTCAGTGTCAAGGTTTCCCTACCAAAAAGCTAGACTGCGGAAATAAATTTGTAATGCCACCTACTGGCAAGACCTGAAATCACTGCCTCTTCTGAAATCTAATCAGCTCACCGAGGTAACTGAGTCCTTGGCCTTAATCATGTGAATAATGTGATCCAAGGTAATCAAATGCTCTAGGGATTTCATTCGGCCTTTAAAGTTGTCTGTTTGGGCTGAGTCATAGAGAAAATAATTTGGGGAGATTGGGGAGAGGTTTTTTTTTTTTTTTTTTCCCCACTGTGACCATTCCTAACAATTTGTTTGAAATCATCCAATGGGAAACTGAGCACATCCCCCCCCCCACCTTTCTCTTTTCAACATGCTTCATTTTCTTGACGATCTCGAGCACAGTACTGAATGAAATTGTTGATGATATGAAAACTTCTCTTTTGTTTGTAGATTTTAAATGGAGGGACTCCAGACATTCCTTCCAGTGGCCTACTACCAGGGCAGGCTCAGGAAAATCCAGGTTATCCGTACTCTTCTGATAGTTCCTCTATTCTCGGTAAGTAGCATTACTACTCCTTTCCACTGCAATGAGCTTGCATGATATCTGGCCTAAGGTCAGTTTTAAGAACTGAATGAATAAAATAAGCTAGTGCTAGATAAATGATAAGCAAATTTTTAACCTTTAGTTTTTAACTCTTTAGTTCAAAGTTGAGTTTAATGGTCGAGTTCTGGTGAGGGGCTCCAAGATTTGTCCCTGGAACTCAAAGGAGCAGCTTAGACTCAGGCTTTTCCCTCCATGTGGGCCATCAGCTCTTCAGTGGGAGGGCTGATGAAGGAAGGTTCAGAAATAAAGCCTGGAAGGATGATCAGTAAGTGTTTCAGCAGGTATTAAAAGTGGTAAAGAGTTTGCTTCTCCCGTGTCACCCATCTTCTCTGTCATTCTGGATGGTTTGCTTTCTCTTCATCCCTACATTCCCATTTGTCTTTCCTTCTGCATCTCCCTCCCTAGAACTGGTTATGTCAAAATATTAAGATGAGGTCAACTCAAATACTTTCAATCTTTATTGCATTTTAAGCACTTGTTTCTAAAAAGTTGGTTCTTCTCTCTGAAACACACTAAAGGAAATATATTACGGCAATGCAGCCCCAAAGCAGTCTCTCCCGTCATTCCCACCGTACTGTTAAGTACAACATTCTTATTAAAAGTGTGCTTGGGAACTGCTTATGAAAGTTAAACATGCTTTGGTATTAGGACTGACCAGTCTTTTTCTCCTCCCACAGGTGAGAACCCTCACATAGGCATAGACATGATAGAAAACGACCAAGGCTCAAGTAGTCCCAGTAATGATGAAGCAGCAATGGCTGTCATTATGAGTCTCTTGGAAGCAGATGCTGGGCTGGGTGGTCCTGTTGACTTTAGCGACTTGCCATGGCCGCTGTAAACGCTACGTGTTGCTTTGGCAACAGCTACAGTATCAAAGTGCATTACTGGTGGAGTTTTACAGTCTGTGAAGCTTACTGGATAAGGAGAGAACAGCTTTTATGTACTGTCTTCATAAAAGCCATCTCAGAGCCATTGATACAAGTCAATCTTACTATGTGTAACTTCAGACAAAGTGGAACTAAGCCTGCTCCAGTGTTTCCTCATCATTGATTATTGGGCTAGCTGTGGATAGCTTGCATTAATTGTATATTTTGGATTCTGTTTGTGTTGAATTTTTTAATCATCGTGCACAGAAGCATCATTGGTAGCTTTTATATGCAAATGGTCCTTTCAGATGTATGGTGTTTTTACACTACAAAGAAGTCCCCCATGTGGATATTTCTTATACTAATTGTATCATAAAGCCGTTTATTCTTCCTTGTAAGAATCCTTTACTATAAATATGGGTTAAAGTATAATGTATTAGACAGTTAAATATTTTTAATAAATGTTTCCCTTGTTCTATAAATACTGTTCACATTTCAAATAGAAAAAAAATTCCTGTGTGCTACAGGGCTGGATCAATTTTCTACAGTGGCTGTTAAAGGACAAGCCATGCCAAGGACATTTACAGTGCCTTTCTGGCCTTCAGTAACAGTTCCAGGACTCACATAATTTCCCTGTTAATAGCTTAGCTGTACTGTTAGAATAGTTAATCTCCAAATTATTGCAATTTTATGTGAGTATGCTGATATTACTGCTTAAACACAAATTTCAAATCCTAGGACATTCATTTTAAGATTAATTGTAACAAATGGGCTTCTTGCCTACAACTCCCACTCTGCTCATGGTTGTATGGCTTCACACATTAAGTGAGCCCTGACCCAAAGCACCTAAGTATTTCTACTTCCTGCTTGAGTTGGACCACAGGGTATTTTTTTTTTTTAAAGCATCTGCACAAATAGTTTGCTAAGAACAGCATAGTATAATGAACAAAGCACTGAACCAGTGTAAGAAATTGACTCTGAAATTTAAGGTTACCCTATAACCATAGTAATGGCATTTCACTCTTCTTAGGTTTGACTAGAAAATGTTTTTTTCAGTCAACCTTTGCTGTGGATTTAGTAAGGCATCTAAGTGCTTCATTACACGTAAACTAAATCGGGAGTTCTGTGAGCTACCAGGTGGTTTCTAGTTTCACTGATACCAATAAGACAGGAAATCCATTAATTATGAGACTACGGACCTGGTCAAGGTGGTTATAAAGCTGATCAGAAACATTAGAACAATGGAATTTTATTGATGAAAAACTTGAGTTTACAATCATTTAGTAAATGAAGAGCAAACACTTCATTTTCCTATCCCATAACTCTTGAGAAAAAAAATTAGTAAATAAATATCTGAACAGATTAAGGGTAAGGCAGACTGGATAATAAACCACCTCTGATGTTCACACTTCCTGCATGTGACTCACTCTAAAAGGACAAAAACAGCACTGGAGAGAAATAAGATATGGGCATTAGATCTCCTCCTAATCAATCAAATAAGCCCAATGATAAATACTCCTTTTTTGCCCATCATGGGCAGCAAACTATACACATTTTACTGAAGGAATACTTTGATAGAAGCACTTATTTCAGTTATATTGTGCATCACAACTATAAAAATGGCTTGAACAGTTCCATTTAACCACCATTTATAAAGTGCACCTATATAATATCCTACATTTTACCTGGGGTGTGATGAATATCAATATAAGCTGAAAATACCCCAGCTGCCAATCTTTACCACTTCTGAAAATATCTAGATGTGTGAAAAAGGACTGTCCCCCATACAAAGAACCAATTTCACAAACCTACTGGTAAACAAATACATTTATATAACTGGAACCTCAGGATGCTAGAGTTGTACTCATTTTAAAAACCATTCAGCTACCTTTGGACTTTAAAAAAGCCTACACTGCAATATCCTAAACATGGTCATGTGCATCTCATGATGAAGAGAGCGGCCTTGCAGTGCAGAATGAGGAGAGTGCAGCGTCACCGTGACGAGTAGCATGCTATGGTTTCAAGGAACATCAGCATCACAGCATCGGATTCTGTGCATCAGGATTGAGGCCGTTGTTGCCAGAAGGGGGATGGATGGGGAGGATATCCAGCTCATCCACCTGCGGAGTTGGGTGCAGGACCACCAGCTGGTCCTGGGGAATGTCTGCGGCAGCTGCTGCAAGATTGGTGATAGATTTACTCTTCACACATTGAAAGTCTACATGCCGACTCTTTCCTTCTTCATTCTCCCAAGACATTCGAATAAAGGGTCTTTGGACATAGTTGTAAATCACTTCTGGGCAGCCTCCAGGCCTTTTCTTTACTTTTTCTTTGTAGGTAGGATAACCTGGAGGACAGAAAAGTTTTAAAAACTGAGGTGCACACATACACAAGCATGCACACACTTCTCACCCAAACTTCCCACCCAAGTGGGAGAAGTCCCATAAACTTCTCACCCAAGTTAGCCTAAAGAAGGCTTTTCTGCTGTAGTTCCTGAACAAACAGAAATTAAGACAAAGAAAGGAAATCAATAATCCATCTCTCGTCACCAGTTCAACAGCCAGAAACCGGAATCCTACTGATGCAATTCACACAAGCTTCCACCATCCTCTCAGCCGCTCAACATACCAACCCAGTAAAATATTCAAGTAAAAGCATGGAGGGGGGATAAGTCCTGAACAGAATGGTTCATAGTCTCGTGCATTGGACTCTACCTGTATACCCTTAATATCCCTGAACCCTCCCCTTCACGGGATCATCTCGCCTCAAGGGCTGCAATTTGTTGCCACATTAGCCTTCTAATTTCCTTAAACCTAAATCTCATCTTTATATTGCTTTGGGTTTTTTTCTTTCCTTTTTTTTTGTTAACATATAAAGAGCTATAGAGTTCTCCAGCTTCACTAGTTCTAGGTATACTTTTGCACCTAGATCAACAAAGCCAATATTTTAAGCCCCATGTCATTTTAACACTACTCCCAACAACCAAGCAGTTCATCCAGAGTGGCAATTCAAAGGAGCTTCCCCTGATTAATTATACCTTCCTCTTCTTGGATAATTACTGAAAAGTAACAATTAGTGAAGACAATGCTAATATGGGAAAAGTTTCAGTCATTTACCAGTAAGGCAATTTCTCCAGACATAACTCCTTAAAACTATTATTATAAGTCCCTTCCCTCCTTCCTACTTGCAAGAATTGCTAGTTTAGACCAGGGATTGGCAAACATTTTCTTTAAAGGGCCAGATAGTAAATATTTCAAGTTTATTTCAGCTTCTCTTGCAACTACTCAACTATGCCACTGTAAAGTAAAATCAGCCACAGAAAAATGTAAATGAATGAGCATGTCCATGTTTCAATAAAACTCTGGGCAATGGAGGGGATAAGAGGCAATGGGCTAGATTTGGCTCATGGGCCACAGACTATAGGAGAATCAGAAAAAAACTAGAAAGACCTCACACATCAGGGACTCAATTACTGCATAAAGGAAGTACGTTGGCATCACTGGTGGCTAGTATATTTAGCTACATATGTAAGTAATATGGCTCAGGTGAGGGGGCTCGGGCAAGCAGAGCTAAAAATCTTCTAAAGACTCTTTGTAGAATGTCTTTTTTGTTTCGTACTTCCAGTCAATTACCAGGGCAACACTTGAGTTCAGAAAGGTCTCCAGCTCTATTCCCTTGTCCTTGATTTCTCTTGGACTATTAGTCTTTAAAATTCCCATCTCATCATAGTCCAATTTGTCCTCCACAGAGAATCCTCACTCTGATACAAGTATAATCCTATTACATCCTTGCTTAAAAACTACCAACTACCAAAAAATTTCCTCTTGCTTCAAGGGAAAGTCCAAAGTCCTTCACATAGTATATAAGGCTTTTTTTTTTTTTTTTTACAAGCAGGCTCCAACCTACTTGTCACCGGGCTTCAGCTCAAATATCTCTGCCTGAGAGAAGCCTTCCTCATCCTCCCAATCTATAGTAGCTTCCAGGTGTCTTCTCTCTAGCTCTGAAATCAAACAGCTAAATCCCACTACTTACAAAATGACAGAAGACAATGGTGAAGCTAAAGTGTCAGCAATTCCACGATGTTCTTAAGCCCAAAGTCTCCTCCCCTTCCTGCAAAATCCTATTTCTGGTCATTCTTTCTCATATGTCTCAGCAGTCCATTACTGCGATCTCCAACAGCTCAACTGGTCATTGATCAACACCATGATCTTCATGATCAGCATCACAAACATATACTGAGAAATTACTATGTGCCAGGCTCTGTTTTAAGTTTTTCATTCTGTCATCATAACAACCCTATAAAGTACTTTAATGCTCCCATTTTAGATGAGGAAACTGAGGCACAGAGAAGTTAAGTGCCCTGGCCAAGGTCATACAACTATTAAGTCATAGGATTTGAACACAAGTAATGTGGCTCCAGAACCTTTAATCTTTACACTATGCCACATTATGCCGAGGGAGATATTTTGTTCTTAGTAAAAGGGCACTTTAAAAGAAGTATCTGACATGGCATCTGGAAAAATCCATTTAAATCATAAAGTAAAAAAAAAAAAATCTAAAAATGTTTGCATTTAACAAGATGAAATAAGTTTGAAATCTGTATTTAATGTGAAAATAAGTTAACTATTATCATATCTTAAGAACCAGGAAGCTACTAACATGTTTTTACATGCATTTTCAGATAGTAGTTTTAAGTTCTGTTGAGCTTTGAGGAACACCAATGATCTCTGATGGGCACAAGGCTTTGCCCATCTTTTGGAAAGGTATACACATGTACCAGGCAAGAATGCATAGGGATGATGAAATATGGCAGAAAAGACAAACTCACTTTTTCTTACTATTAGGGAATCTTATGGAATAAATAATAATCTTTAATGGCTTTCTATCTTTTCAGATAAAGGAAGCTCATTTTTGTTATTTTTGGTGTACTGCATGAGCATTCAATCATCATTTGAGTTTTTCTCAAAGTATGTATTTCTCAAGCTATATTCTAAATGGGATTCAATTTTAACCTTGTTTTTTTTTTTAAAGAAAATAGAAAATAATGAAAATGTCTTACCTTCTATTCCCAATCTAATCTTCTTAAGACCTCTCTCCTTCAAAACTGATTTGGCCACATCTCTGTTTTCAATGTACTTGAAAAATCTATATAATTTTGTGCTATAAATAACTGGAAACAAAAAGACAAAAATACTTTCTTATTAAAATCAAAGTACTTAGAGATGAACTTAAAATTATCTTGATCATCAAAGGGGCCTGACAACTCTAAAAGCCCAAATAATGGATGCAGTGATGCGAAAAGGATGACTAGCCAACATGACAGGATAATTCAGTACAGTTAATGTATAAGCAAATGTCTACTTAAGTTGAAACAAACAAAAAAAAAAGCTTTAATAACCAATCAGGTAACCCAATCCATAGGAAGAATGTCCTTCTGAAAGATATATCATATACAAACTTATTGCAATAGAATCTGCCCCAC